GAGGAGGGAGAAGGAAGAGGAGAAAGAAGGAGGAAGAAGGAGAAGGAGGGAGAAGGAGGATGAGGGAGGAGGAAGAGGGAGAAGGAGGAGGAGGGAGAAGGACGAGGCAGGAGAAGGAGGAAGAGGGAGAAGGAGGAGGAGGGAAAGGAAAGAGGGAAGAGAGAAGAAGGATGGAAGGGGAAAGGGGAGGGGGAGAGAATAAAGGGGAAGGGGGTGGGGGAGAGGGAGGGGAGAGTCCACTATGGCTGGAACATTCTGGATTGTGAAGCAAAGGAATTGCTACTTCTCACTCCCACCCTACCCTGGAGGGCAGAAAATGTGTGCACAGAGCAGGGTCCAAACTCAAACCCCAGTGACAGTTCAGGTGACAGCAGAGTTTGGCCAGTCCTGGGAGCAGGAAATAAGTGAGGTGGAGGCCAAACCACATGGAGGAGCCAGTGCCGGGGTGACATAAGGAAGGGAGGAAGATCTGAGGTGCTCCCTAAGCAGAGAGGATGAGAAAAGAGAGCATGTTGGGGTGGGGGGAGCTGGGCCTAGGGGCTTTGTAAAGAGTGGTTTGGCTTACCTAGGGAGGCCCCGTTGTACTCAAATTTCTCCTCTGGGCCTCATCTCTTTCTTCTGACAATTCAGGTCTTGACTAGATACTGTGCCTACTTTTCTTCCTGGGTGTGAACTCAAGGTGTCCAGCCCCGGGCTGAGCAGGCAAGGTGCAGGCGGCCACAGTCCGTGTTGAGAGTGAAGGGTGCAACCATTCTTTCAGGGACTCCTCACCAGACCCTGCAGGTTCCCTTTGTGTCCCCTGCTCGGTCCCCTTGTCCTGCAAGATGCTCTCACTGTATCCTGTAGGGTGTTCTTGTATGGTTCCCTTGCTGTGTCTCCTGCAAAGTGCCCTCACCAGCTCACGATTCCCCTACAGTATGTCCGAGTCTCCCAGGATACGCCCTCCAGTGTCATCTACCAGCTCATGACCCAGCACTGGGGCCTGGATGTCCCCAACCTCCTCATCTCCGTGACTGGTGGGGCCAAGAACTTCAACATGAAGTTGAGGCTGAAGAGTATTTTCCGGAGAGGCCTGGTCAAGGTGGCCCAAACCACAGGTGAGTGCTGAGGCCTGCCCAAGCTACGAGTGCAAGGTAGGATGAAGGGGATCTCTGGGGACCAGGATTATGGGGTCTAGAAAACTCTTGGGGATAGCTGAGTGCACACCCAGCCTGGGCTAAATTCCTTGGGTCCCTCATCTACAGACAACACTTCCTTCATGCTGTTTATTGTTCTGATGCCCTATAGTCACTTCCATGTGTTAATGTGCTAGATTTAAAAAACAAACTTATTTTTACTTAGTGCCTATGTGTGCACATGCATGGGCACTTATGTGCATATTGGGTACATGTGTGCATGTGTGTGTTCCTGCATGTGTGTGCGTGTATGTGCATGTGTGAATGTGTGTGCCTGTGCATGTGTGTGTGCATGTGTGTGCATATGCACATGTATGTGTGCATGTGTGTGCATATGCACATGTGTGTGTGCATGTGTGTATGCCTGCATGTGTGTGAATGTGTGTGAGTGTATGCACGTGTGTGTGCACACACATGTGTGCACATGTGTGCATGTGTGTGTGTGCGTGTGTGTGTGCGTGTGTGTGTGTATGTGTGTGTGTGAATGCTACATGTGTTCGGATGCCTGTGGATGGCAGAAGAGGACATTGGATCCCCTTGGAGCTGAAAGGTGGTTGTGAGCCTCTCGACATGAATGTTAGGACAGAACTTAGGTTCTCTGGAAGAGAGGCCAGTACTCTTTACTGGAGCTATCTCTCCAGACCCTAGATTTTATTTAATGTCCATGTGGCTTCAAGGCACTGATTTCAGAAGTCTGGCCAGCACTGTGTAGTGAGCTAAGCACCCAACCAATAGCTGACGGGTCTTGACTTGTGTAGCATGTATGTGCGTGGCTCCGGTAGTGCTGGAGGCAGATTGTCATCTGTAGGGCTGAGGGATGGGGAGTGTGGGCATCATCCACTACTCTCTGGGACGCCAACTCTGAAAGGAAGGTGGAAAGCTGCAGAATAGGAGACTCAGACCTTGTATGCTCCTCAGCCTGGGACAGAGAAGACAGAGGGGCAGGAGAGACTCAGAGAGAGAAGATACAAGTCTTTGTTTCTCATTCTTTCCCATCGTTGTCTTGTAATGTGGGGCACTCAGGTCCCAGGAAGATACTATCACAGTATAGTGTCTCTTCCTCAATCCTGCTTTAGAGACATAGCTGCCAATGTACTTGAGAGTCTAAGGATGAGGTTCCATGCCAGGAGTCCAGTGGGACTCTGGGTGTCAGGATTAGCATGGCAGGGTGCACATTGGAACCTAGAGGCATGGCCTGTCTCTCCTTCTCCAGGGGCCTGGATCATCACTGGAGGGTCCCACACGGGCGTGATGAAGCAGGTGGGCGAGGCGGTACGGGACTTCAGCCTGAGCAGCAGCTGCAAAGAAGGTGAAGTCATCACTATTGGCATAGCCACGTGGGGCACCATCCACAACCGCGAGGGGCTGACCCATCGCGCGGTGAGTAGCCATTCCAGAGTGAATCTGGGTTGGAGGAGGAAGAATGGGGGCAGAGGGAGAGAAGTTCAGGGAGCACGTTGGGTGCCAGCATGAGTGTTGAGTTGCGGAGGGCACAGTGAGGAGGGTGGGCAGCTAACACGGACTGAGTGTACAAGAGGCAACCATGTGCTGGTTATTACTACATGGGGGTACATCCCAAGAGTTGCTTTGATGAGAAATGGGCTTCAAGGAAGGAAGTGACTGAACAGGACCACACAGCCAGCAAACACTGGGGTTGGATTAAGCCAGGCTATCTGACCACAAAACCTGAGTTTTTAGCTTTGAACCTTTGTGGTTAGAGGCCTCCAGCCAGAAGTTCCACAGGGCCGTAGTTTCTGGCAGTCAGCAGCAAGTTGGGCTGTCTTTTTTAACACTACCCTCCAAGCTCAGCTTAGCAGCTACTTAAGAATGGAGACTTCTGGGCTGGAGAGATGGTTCAGTGGTTAGGAGCACTGACTGCTCTTCCAGGGGTCCCGAGTTTGATTCCCAGCAACCACATAGTGGCTCACAACCATCTGTAATGGGATCCGATGCCCTCTTCTGGTCTGTCTGAAGAGAGCAACAGTGTATTCACATACATAAAAATAAATCTTAAAAAAAGATAGAGACGTCAGTTGGATAACTTGGTTCACTAAGCCGATTTTCTAAAGACGCACTGGATCTGTCCTAATGAGGACATGTATATTTCATTCACAGCCACAGAAATCTGAGAACATCGTGATCTATGACTAGGGAGTCTTTTGTCACTGCTGACAAGAGTGTGCCTGGCCCAGTGTGCAGTCCTCCTGGCTCAGGGGCCCTTTATCAGACATAGTTGCTCTAAGGAACACAGTCTTTGTCTTTCTCTTGTGTCTGAATCATGGAGTGCATCCCTGGACAAGATGGACCAATGTTTCTGTTTTGTGCACCCATTTTTTTGGTGTAAGACTGAGGCTAATGGAGGCCAGGGGTGTTCCGAGTTAAGAACCCTTCCAGTTGTAATGCTGTTCTCTGCTCTGTGGACAGTAGAGACGGTGTCTTGTCAGGCAGCATCTCCCAGGTTAGTAACCTCTTTGGGGTGCTGTAAAACATGACCCCAAGTCTGGTAGCACAAAACAACTACAATTAGAAGTTACTTTCCCAGGGAAAAGAGATGACTCAGTGGATAAAAGCACTAACTGCTCTTCTAGAGGTCCTGAGTTCAATTCCCAGCAACCTCATGGTGGCTCACAACCATCTGTAATGGGATCCAGTGACCTCTTTTGGTGTGTCTGAAGACAGCGGCAGTGTACTCTTATAAATAGATAATAATTTTAAAAATAAAAAATAAAACAGAAGCTACTCTCCCACACAGCACGGACACTATATCATTTGACCCCAACAAAAATGAAGTTATACTATTCTGGGCCTCTGATAGGACCCTTCCTGTTCCTTTAACTGCAGGTGCTTCTGGGAGTTCCTAAGGCTCCACCCAGACAAACCTATCTAATCTTCTCATGTTTAGATCTTTAACATCATAGCTGCAAAGCCCCTTTTTCTAAATAAGGGAACACCAGCAGACTTTTGGTTTTAGGGATTGGTATCTTTGGGGGGTCATTATCCAAGCTATTAGATGCCCCCCCTTTCCAGAATACAGGTATGGCTTTTTTTTTAAACCAATGTGTGTGTGAGACTCCCCTGGTCATCCACAGGAAGGCCTCCCTGCTGAGTACATGTTGGATGAGGAAGGTCAAGGGAACCTGACCTGCCTGGACAGTAACCACTCCCATTTCATCCTGGTGGATGATGGGACCCATGGGCAGTATGGTGTGGAGATTCCTCTGAGGACTAAGCTGGAGAAGTACATCTCAGAGCAAACGAAGGAAAGGGGGGGTAAGTGTGCATGCTCCTGAGGGAACCTGGGGCAGAGAGAAGAGAGGCTGGCTCTGTGTCAGAGCCACAGCTGGCTGCCATGACCTACATAGTTCATGGTGGTGAGATCACAATGCAACGATATTCATTTTTCGGGTCCCTGAGTGCTTCTTCATGGGTACAGGTCTTCTCTTGCTGCTTCGATCATCAGTGGAAGGGTGTTAGTGTAGGCTTGGCTGTTGGCTGTCAGTTGATAGAACATTCTACATTTTCAATTAGAGATGGTTTCAGGCTGTGTCTTAGTCAGGGTTTCTATTCCTGCACAAAATATCATGACCAAGTTGGGGAGGAAAAGATTTATTCAGCTTACACTTCCACATTGCTGTTCATCACCAAAGGAAGTCAGGGCAGGAACTCACACAGGGCAGGAACCTGGAGCCAGGAGCTGATGCAGAGACCTTGGAGGGGTGCTGCTTATTGGCTTGCTCAGCCTGCTTTACTTATAGAACCCAGGACTACAAGCCCAGGAATGGCACCACTCACAATGGGCCCTCCCACCCTTGATCACTAATTGAGAAAATGCCTTACAGCTGGATCTCATGGAGGCATTTCCTCAAGGGAGGCTCCTTTCTCTGTCATAACTCCAGCTTGTGTCAAGTTGACACACAAAACCAGCTGGTATAGGCTGTGAAATGGGAACAGGTGACAAACAGACCTCTCAGCTCAACCTCACTTGCCTTTGGGGAGAGGGATGGGGGCGCCCAGTGTGTGAGGTGAGGGGAGAGCACACAGAGCATGGGGGGGGGTGTCCAGCTCAGCACGTGGATTGTTTGGAGTGACACTGGGCAGCAGATATCAAGCTTCTTGTACTTCCTACAGCAGGGTCCCCACTGGGGTTGGGCACCCAGTCTTCCAATCACCTTCCCCAGGTCCGATGAGATGTCCACTAAGTTCCCAGGGCATCTGTAATCTGTTTAGGCTCCATGCTGGGGGAGCACTGCTTGGGGAGCACTACTTGGGGAGCACTGATGGTGTAGGAGGTGTGTCAAGGCAGGGACCCTTGTTATCACTGGGTTGGAGAGGAAACCCCATACATACCTCCATTTTTCTGCCTTCTGGGTGGGGTCGAATAGAAGGGAAGAAGATTCATGATGTGTGTCCCCCCCCCCATACCCCTTCAGCCCACAAGGGATGGGTCCAGCCCCTCCTAGAGGCTCCTTGAGCCAGCCTGGATTTTGAGGCACCATGAAAAGAACAGTAGAGAAAGGCAGGCTGGCTAGAGCGGTCCACTGGATAGAGGAGATGGAGGTCTGCTCTTGCTCCTTCTGTACAATTCAATCAGGATGGAGTAGGATACAGGTGGAAGGCTGGCCTGGGTAGTCAGGTACAGGAGTCCCTACTGTGGTAGATGCAGGGGTGGGGTGAGTGGGCAGGGTCAGGGTCAGGGAGAATGGTCTGGGGGGGTAGGGGTGGAGCAAATGGCCAGGTGGTCTTGGGTTTGCTTCATTCCCCCAACCCCCAGACAGGGTTTCTCTGTGTAGTCTTGACTGTCCTGGAACTCACTCTGTGGATCAGGCTGGCCTCGAACTCACAGAGATCCGCTTGCTTCTGTCTTCTAAGTACTGGGATTAAAGGCGTGTGCCACCACGAGCTGGCTGGGTTTGCTCTTTTATGGTGACTGAGCAACTTCTCCACAAGCCGTCATTGTTCACCTTTAGCCGCTGCCGTTGTCTGCCGCTGGGCACAGCTGGCTCTTCCCCATGTGACTAGGGTGGAGTTGGGTGGGTGGAGGGAGAGGACTCAAACGGTCGCCTCCCCCAACTTGCCGTCACATGGGCTCTGTGTCTGTCTAGGTGTGGCCATCAAGATCCCCATTGTCTGCGTGGTGTTGGAGGGTGGCCCTGGCACTCTGCATGTGAGTACTCGCTGCTGTGCAGTGTGGGGCTCGGATGCTGCTGTGGAGGGAGGACTGGGAGAGGCTTTGAGGGAGGACTGGGAGAGGCTTTGAGGGAGGACTAGGAGAGGCTTTGAGGGAGGACTGGGAGAGGCTTTGAGGGAGGACTGGGAGAGGCTTTGAGGGAGGACTGGTAGATGCTTTGGAGGGAGGACTGATAGATGTGTTGAAGGAGGACTGGTAAGTACTTTGGAGGGAGGACTAGTAGATGCTTTGAAGGAGGACTGGTAGGTGCTTTGAGGGAGGACTAGTAGATGCTTTGAGGGAGGATTGGTAGATGCTTTGAGGGAGGACTGGTAGATGCTTTGGAGGGAGGACTAGTAGATGCTTTGAGGGAGGACTGGTAGATGCTTTGGCTAGAATCTGGTGCCATCGCTGAGAACACACATGGCATGCTGTCCTCAGATTATGGAGGAGAGGGAATCCACCACAGGACAGGGATGTCTCTAGGTGGGAGAGGAGGCATGTGATGGATACACCCTCCTGTGGGAGAGGTGGCTTGGCTTTAGCTCAGGTTATGGTGAGTCTGCTGGCTCTCTCTTTCCCATGGCCTCTCCAAAAGTCTTCCACCCAGTATCCCAGGCACTGCTATCAAGTACAGGCCCCAGCCCCAGTCCAGCTCCTAGAGCTGAGATCTGGGGTTTTCCTCATGGTCCTGGTATCCCTTGGGTTTTGGTCCTTCTGGATCTACACAGCATCCCTGTGAATGCGTCTGGCCAATGGCTATGCCACAAATCCTTGGTACTAATTGGTATTAGGTGGTGAGTGATAAGCTTGAGTCAGGTGTATCAGTGGTACACCTTGTCCTTGTGTGATAGCAACAGCTCTGCGGTGTGCACCAAACCATTGGAAACTTCCAGAAGGTTCCAGCTTCATAGGCTCACTCTAGTAGCAAGTGGGATGCAACCTCAGCTGCTATTGAATAACGTTCTAGGGCAGTGGTGGTGCACGCCTTTAATCTCAGCACTTGGGAGGCAGAGGCAGGTGGATTTCTGAGTTCGAGGCCAGCCTGGTCTGCAGAGTGAGTTCCAGGACAGCCAGGGCTACACAGAGAAACCCTGTCTCAAAAAAACAAAAAAAGAAAGAAAGAAAGAAAGAAAGAAAGAAAGAAAGAAAGAAAGAAAGA